TACCCAGACAACGATAGCTTGAACTAAACCTGTACAGTCTATTCAACATTGACAGTTTGACCAATGGATGGCACAGTCCAAAGATCACTGATAACTTGGCACGAGGTTTACAGTCCAAGACATATTATATCTCAACCACGAAGGACAGACTAGGAGACAATGATAACTGAACTCGGATTGCGCACAGTTCAAGAAAACATATTATCTTCGGTCTGTTCTTATGCTGATATCTTGCGCTTATGTACACGACTCAAATGCGACGTGAAAGTGTTTTGAGAGCTGACACATTGTTGTCACTGGTCGCATCTGGTGCGGGGGGAGTATTGTCGTGATGTCATCGAGTACGGTTAATAGAGAAGTGGTTGTCCACTGGTCGTCGGTGTGGAGTATCCGTGTTGATTGTCTATCAGTACGGTTAAGTAGCAGCACAAAGTTGTCCTGTCGGCGTGTAGTGAGTATCGTCGTGACTGTAGTCAGTACGCGAACTAGAGACATGTTGTCCTGTGCGCGCCGTACCGTGGCGGAATATCGTCGTGAGTCATCGTACCGGTAAGATAGAGCATGTCAATATTCAACGGCGGTCATTCTCGCCGCCGCTCGCTGAACAACAGTAGCGCCACCTAGTGTGAGGACGCTCGGATGTAGGCGCCTGCCGGCACACCCCTTGCACATGTAGCCACCTTCTATAGTATTACCCTGAAATAAACACAAACCCATCCTGCATATCCGAAGCAGAAATATCCTTATAGAGCTCTAGGTGTTCGTCCTAGTGAGGTTGTTCACTCCACGACAGAAAAAAAAGCCCGGAATCATCTTCCCTATACACAGGTGGCTGTTATACAGAGGTGAACACTAACCCCGGTCTGACAGAATTAGCCAGACACACGAACTGGCTGCTCGTACTGCACACATACTACTATATACTCGCTATACTAACATACTAGTTATCACTACATATAAACTGATACTACATACTATATACTACTATATTACTGTTATACTACATACTACTACCACTACATTAAACGCTATTTTACATAACATATACTACTATAGTACTGTATACACATAACTAATACTACTCATAAACTGTATATTACATACTGATATACTACTTAACTGTGGATACCATACTGATCAGAGTACTATGATACGTATTACTACATTCACTATATACTACTAAACTGTATACTACACTACATACTACATCATCATAAGCATTATACACTACGAGTACTCGTATTAATTTCATCATTATTTACACATACTTACACACTGTCTATACTACATACACTATAAAACTACTATCTACTATATATTACACATTATGTACTACATATACTATTTACTAGTGAGAGCACTCACGTGTGAAACAGGACGCAGCGTGTGAACGTATGAACGTGACGCTACGCGGGGGTGAACTGCTGCTACACTCACGCAGACTTCCCGCGCGACGCCGCCATCCCCTCCACCGCCGCACACCTTCACAGGTGACCTTCCCAAGGCTTTCGAGCGAGCAGATCCGGACAGAGCCTACCTGGAAGGCAGAGCCGGTAGCATGGCACGTGTTGACTCGCGTTGGGATCCCGCGTGCACACAGGCGTACACGAAACTTCTCCTGTAACGTGACATGCAGGATTAGAGAACGCATCTTATTAATGTATATGGAGTTCAATGTAATATATTAATTTGCTCATATTTATTTAATTTATAGACTATTGTTAATAAAACATGACGTAAAGCTTTTAGTTAGTAGTTAGTTAGCATTATGATAATATTACATGAATAACACATAGGCTGAATATGTTTATTAAATTAATATACTATCGCAGCACGGCGCGGCAAACACCGAGCCATTCAATGATTTTGCTATGTCTAACGATCGAGCATAGGATCATACAATGGCACGAGATCACTGCACGGACGCTTAGTGTCAACAAAGGACTGGGGTCGAAGTGAAGGGAGGCGGGAGGGATTCGTTAGAGTGGCGAGGATTATGGAGAGGGATGGTTAGGCGGAAGACGTGGGAAGGAACAATGCGAGGAAAGGAATGTGCGAGGAGGAGGACACTGAGAGGAGGGACGTGAAGGAGAGGCATTAGGAAAGACGTGGGTGGGGGGGGACATGTAGGAACAGCAAAAAGGTATGAGGAGGTAGAGGAGGACATGTAGGAACAGGAAAGAGAGGGAGTGGGGGAGGGACATGTCAGAGGAACAGGAAATGTATGAGGGGAGGTGGGGGGAGGGACATGTTGTAGAACAGGAAAGTAGGAGGAGGAGGTGGGGGAAGGCGACAGTAGAAACAGGAAAGCAGAGGGGGAGGTGGGGGGAGGAACATGTAGAACAGGCGGAGTAGAGGGGGAGTGGGGGAGGCGACATGTAGGAACAGCGAAAGTAAGAGCGGCGGAGGTGGCGTGGGGGAGTAGACAGTAGAACAGCGAAAGTAGAGGTGGAGCCCTGCCGACTCGCCGCGGGTCAGGACATGTAGGAACAGGATAGTAGAGAGGGAAGGTGGGGGAGGGACATGTGTTAGGAACTAGGAAGTAGAGAGGAGCGGTGCGGTGGGAGCATAGGACACAGGCAAAGTTAGAGGGCGGAGGTGGGGGACGCGACATGTAGGAACAGAAGTAGAGGGGGGTGGGGACGGACATGGAGCGAACAGAAATAAAGGGGGAAGTGGGGGGAGGCACATGTCAGGAACTAGGAAAGTAAGAGGGGGACGGTGGGGGGAGCGGACATGTCGACCAAACAGGAAAAGTAGCAGGGGAGTGGGGAGGACATGTAGAACAAAGGAAAGTAGAGGGGCGATGCTGGGGGGAGGGACATGCCGAGGAACCAGCGAAAGTACGAGGGGAGTGGGGGTAGCGGAATGTAAGAACAGGAAAGTAGAGGGGAGCTTAGTGGGGGGCATGCTAGGAACAGCAACAGTAGAGGGGGAGCGTGGTGGCGGGGAGGACATGGAGGAACAGGCAAAAGTAGATGGGGAGCGGTGGCGGGAGGCGACATGTGAGGAACAGGAAAGTAAGGAGGGCGGAGCGGAGGGAGGACATGCGAGGAACAGGAAAGTAGAGGGGAGGTGGGCGGGAGGCGACCATGTAAGAACAGGAAAGTAGAGGGGCGAGGTGGTGGGGCCAGGGGAGGGCATGAGGACCAGCCAACAGTGAGGGGGAGAGTGTGGCGGGAGGGACATTGAAGGAACAGCGAAAGTAGAGGGGAGCGTGGTGGGGGGAAGACATGTAGGAACAGGAAAGTTAGAGCGGGGAGGTGGGGGAGGACATGTAAAACAGAAGTACGAGAGGGAGGTGGGGGGAGCGGACATTGTAGGAACAGAAAATAGAGGCGAGGTGTGGTGGAACATGTTTAGGAAACAGGAAAAGTAGATGACGGGAGGGGTGGGGGGAGGACATATGTTAAGCAACAGGAAATAGAGGGGGAGTGCGCGGTGGTGGGGCCATGTGTCAGCGAACCAGCAGAAGCTACGAGGGAGGGGCGCGCCTCCGTCGTGCAGCCGGCCTGGAGGCACCGCACGCATGGACCCAAGGAACACGGAACGTAGAGGGGGAGGTGCGTGGGGGAGGAACATGGAGAGCGGAGGCGCTTCGTGCTGACATGAGGGTTAGCAGTGCCGTATCCTGACGACTTTCTGGCTGAGTCACGCCGTCATCGAGGCAGCGGCGGACATCACAGATTGGCCGCTTTGCTCGCCGTGCACGGGCCGACATCAGGCGAGGGTCGATCTCATCCTCATTAAAGTCCACGCGTTGAATTCTGTCGTCATGTACGGAGAAACAGTGTCACGCGCTACTACACGAAAATATTTCACATGCACGAGAAATCTGTCACCTGTGCCCAACAAATATATGCTCACATGCGCATTGCGACGAAGCACTGGTGACAACCCAGTTCACGCATAATCTCAACTCTCTATTTCAATCTCGCATCGTATTCTAAAACAGATTACGCTGCGTGTGACCATTACTTTGTAACAATTGCCCATTATTTAGGCCAACTAGGTGGCGCCACTGTATTTTCCGGAAGCCCATGGTACTTCGAGTAACACTCTTACAACGCTGGCAGGCCTGGCAAAGTCGCTGCAATAAATACTACGTGAATATTATATATATGACACGTCAGCTCTTACTTTCAGTTCGATCTTTTACTTGTTAGAAATACAACCCGTAGTCGATCATCGCATTCGCCGCTGGCAGAACAATTCGTGCTTTACCGTCAGGTAAAATGAGCCCCCGTTGTTCGCGTCGTGCTGCAACACGATCCGTTTTCGCTTACACTAGGAGTCGTCCATAGAGTCGCCACACGCCCGTGCTACGAATCGAGACCCTTGGCCTTGTGCAGCCGTGCTCAGCGATGACGTCTGTGTTAGCTGGTGAGCGAGTGAGACGGTCTGTTGAGTGCGACCGTCGCAGCGAGCCATAGCAGCTGAGCACTCGCACAGTTGACACCACGTAAAGGATCGTACACACACGCGCGACGCCGCTCTACGCACACAATACCAACATTCACACACGCACGCCCAGCTACCACAGTACACACACACACGCACGTACACATACACACACACACGCCACTTACAGCATTCACACACCACTACCGCACGGTAACATACCACACTACCACCGCCACGCGTACACATACACACAACGGCGCTCACGCCACACCATCACTCACACCCCACGCGAGCACACATACAAACACACACGTACACATACATCACACGCCACCGCTCACGCCAACACATACACACACACGCACCGTACACATACACACACACACACCACGCCGCAGCACATACACACCCACGCGGCACACACACACCCAGCACACATCATGCGCACGCCGCACACCCATACACACACCATCGCACGCCATCCCTACACAACACGCATACGTACGCACGCACACACCACATGCGCACAGCACAGCACCACACGCGCACCAGCGCCACAGCAACACAATCGCCACCTTACGCACGTACACATACACACGCCACGCCATCGCACACTACCACAAACACCACGCACGTACACATGAACACAACCAACAATGCACCACATACACCACCACACGCACTCCACGCACACCATACACACCCACACACACAATATCCACACACACAATAGCACCCAGCCGCCCACGCAACACATCACCACCACACCCATGCGCACCGCACACAACAGCACACACGCGCGCAGTCACCACAATACACACCGCACACATACTACACACCACACACATATGCGCCACGCACGCGCACACCACACACACGTACGCACGCACACACACATTCACACACATGCGCACGCACACACACACACGTTGCAAACACGCACGCGCACACGCACGCATGCCACACACAACACACACTCACCATCTTCTCTCCGTTGTCTATATACTACTATATACTGTATACTACATACTATATACTACTATAAACTGTATACTACATACTATATACTACAGTCATATAAATAATATATACTACGATGTACTATATATTTCATATTATTTACTACATACTATAAACTACTATCTACTATATATTACACATTATGTACTAAATACTATTTACTAGTAAGAGCACTCACGTGAAACAGACGCAGCGTGTGACGTATGAACGTGACGCTACGCGGGGTGAACTGCTGCTTACACTCACAGCAGTCCCGCGTCGACGCCGCCACCGCCTCCACCGCCGCGACCTTCACCGGTGACCTTCCCAAGGCTTCGGCGAGCAGGTCCGCAGACCTACCCTGGACGGCAGAGCCGGTAGCATTGGCACGTGTAGCCTCGCGTGGGATCCCCGTGCACACAGGGTACACAAACTTCTCCTGTAACGTGACACGGGGTAGATAACGGACTATTAATGTATATTGAATTCATTAATATATTATTTGCTCATATTTATTTAATTTATAGAATATTTGTTAATAAAACATGACGTAAAGCGTTATTAGTTAGTAGTAGTTAGCATTTATTAGTATATTAATGAATAACACATAAGTGAATATGTTATAAAGTTAATATACTATCGCAGGCGAGGGCTCGCAAAACACTCGAGCAGTCAATGAATTTTGCTTGTCTAACTGGATGAGGACTAGGATCATACAATGGGACGAGATCACTGCACACGCTTAGTGTCAACATGAAGGGACTGGGGTCGAAGTGAAGAGAGGGGGAGGGATGTAGAGTGGGAGGATTACGGAGAGGGAGGGTTAGGGGAAGACGTGGGGGAAGGAAAATGGAGGAAAAGGAATGTGGAGGAGGAGGGACATGAGAGGAGGGACGTGAAGGAGAGGATTAGGGAAAGACGTGGGTGGGGGGGGGACATGTAGGAACAGAAAAGTAGAGGGGGAGGTAGAGGGAGGGACATGTAGGAATAGTAGACGGAGGAGGTGGGGGAGGGACATGTAAAGAAACAGCGAAGTAGAGGGGGAGAGTGGGGGGAAACATGTAGGAACAGGGAAGTAGAGGGGAGGTGGGGGGAGGAGACATGATAGGAACAGCGAAAAGTAGAGGGGGAGGTGGGTCGGGGGTGGAGGACATGTAGGAACAGGACACAGGTAGAGCGGGGAGGATGGGGAGCGGACAGGTATAGCGGAACAGGGAAGTAGAGAGGGGGTGGGGGAGGCACTGTTAGGAACAGGAAAGTTAGGCAGGAGGAGGTGGGTGGAGACATGTAGGGCAACAGGAAAGTACGAGGGGATGGTGGGGGGGAAGGCGACACTGTAGGACAGGCAAAAAGTAGAGGGGGAGGTCGGGGGGCGAGCGGACATGGCCAGGAACAGTGAAAGTTAGAGGGGGAATCGGGGGGAGGGACATGTAGGAACAGGCGCAAGTAGAGGGGACGTGTGGGGGGGAGGGACATCGGACCAAACAGACGAAAGTAGAGGGCGAGGTGGGGGGACGGGGAAGTAGCGAACAGGAAAGTAAGAGGGGGAGGCTGCGGGGGAGGGGACATGGAGGAACAGGAAAGTAGAGGGGAGCGCTGGGGGGAGGCCTACAGTAAGAAACAGCGAAAGTAAGCACGGGCGGAGGTGAGTGGGGGGGCATGATCAGGAACAGCAATGTAGAGGGGGGGTCTGGGTGGGGGGAGGACATGGAGGAACAGCGAACAGTAGAGGGGGGAGGTGGGGGAGCGGATCATGTAGGAACAGCGAAAGTAGAGGGGAGCTGGGGGGAGGACATGGCAGGACAGGAAGCTAGAGGGGGAGGTGGGTGGGAGGGACATGTAAGAACAGGAAAGTAGAGGGGGAGGTGGCGTGGGGGGGGGCATGTAGCGAACAGCAAAGTAGAGGGGGACAGCGTGGGTGGGGGAGGGAACCATGAAGACAGCGAAAGTTTTAAAAAGAGAGGGAGGTTGGGGGGGGGACGAGACATGCTAGGAACAGCGAAATAGACGGCGGAGAGCTGGGGGAGGACATGTAAGGAACAGCGGAAGTAGAGACGGCGAGGTGGGGGAGGCACATGTAGGAACAGAAAAGTAGAGGGGGAGGTGGGGTGGGAGACATTTAGGAACAGCGAAAGGGTACGAGGGGGAGGTGGGGACGGGACATGTAAGAACAGGAAAGTAGAGGGGGAGCGTGGGTGGGGGGGCCCCATGTAGGACAGCAAAGTAGCACGGAGAGGTGGGTGGGGGGAGGACATGGAGGAACAGGAACGTTAGAGGGGGAGGTGGGTGGGGGGGGAACATGGCAGAGGGAGGGTTTTGGGTGACATGAGGTAGCGAGGCCGTACCTGACACTTTTGGCCTGAGGTAGCGTCATGAGCGAGCGGCGCGACATCACCAGATGGCGCGTTTGCTTCGCGTCACGGCCGGACATCAGGAGCCGTTGATCTCATCCTCATTTTAAAAGTCCAGGTGAATTCTGTCGTTAATGTACGAGAAACTGTCAGCGCGTACAACGAAATTATTTCACATGCACTGAGAAATCTGTCACTGTGCAAGAAAATATATCACAATGCCATGCGAGAGCACTGTGACAACCAGCTTCACGCAAAATCTCATCTCATTTCGCAAATTCGATCGATTCTAAACGCATTTACGCTGGGTGTGACATATATGTTGCTAACAATTGCCATTACTTAGGCCCAATAGTGGCGCCATGTATTTCGGGAAGCCCATGTACTTCGAGTAACAACTGCTACAACGTGGCAGGCCTGGAAAGTGGTGCAATAACATCTTTGTGCAATATTATATATATTACACGTTCAGCTCTGACTTCAGTGTCATCTTTACTTTAGAAATACAACCCGCGGTCGCATCACTCGCTCGCCTGGAGACACATTCTTGTTTTACCTAGTGTGGCCCCCCGTTCGCTTCGCGTCGCTGCTGCCAACACGATGGCCGTTCTTCGCCTTTCAGGCTAGGCAAGTCGTCCATGAGTCGCACTAGGTACGACATTCGAAGCGACCCGGGCTTGTGAGCCGCTGCTCAGGATTGACCGGTCTGTGCCGTGGAGCGTGAGCGAGGAGACGGTGGTGTTTAGTGCGACGTCGCAGGAAGCATAGCAGCTTAGCATCGCACGTGTGCACACGTACAGCGTCGTAACACACGCGTCACGCGCTCACGCCACAACATCACAGGTTACACAC